AAAGCAAGCAGAAGATTGCCTCAATTTTGGTGCCAGTGTGGTCTACACAGTGTGTTTCAGGACAGCCTAGGAGTTTCCTCCCCACAAAAAAAGGAGGAGGAGAAGAAAAAGAAACAAAGAGCAAGGAAGGATGGAAAGACAAAGAAAAGAATACAGGGATACAGCATCTACAAAGATGCAGTGACTAAGAGCGGGGTGAGACCAATGGACAGAGTTGTGGGTCCCATGCCAGCAAGAGCAGGGGCCACTTCTAGCACCCCAATATTTTGTACAAATGTTCCTACAGCCAGCGGAGAAGGCACCAGGACTCTTGGAGAACTGGTCTTAAAGGGCTTTGTATGTTGAACATCCTCTAAGGGGGTAGGTAGCTCAGGCCATGCTAGGCTTGGTTCTCTCTGCACAATCTGGATGCATGAGTAGCAGCAGTCGTGGGGCAGGCTCTTGGAGAATGTTCTCTGTGACAACTTGGTCTCGGTCTTGTCCTTCAGCCTGCTCTCCAGGAGATGGACACAGCAGGGCAGACTCTGTCATAATGCTCCCAGGTGGTTTCATACAGGCAGCAGCCAGGCAAGAACATGGGATGAGATGCTACTCCCCACCCCTCAAATATGCTCTGACCTGGTTGGTACTGGTCCAGCTCATGAACACTGGGCTTCATGGCTTCCACTGTGGCTTCTAGGGAGCGAAAGCAAGTTTACTTCTAGGTTCCGCTTCCGCTGGGCCTAACGAGCCCCCGTGATAGGATGCTGAGCTGTAAGAGGTTGTCGCACTGTCCCATCAGCATGGGACTGACTCTCTGAGAGGGTGAAAACAAAATGGTGTCTGGTACAGTTTTGCCATTCTGTTATCATCAATGGGTTGTGTTTGATTGGGAGGGCCAAGTGCACATTTCTAATCCTGAAATGTGACAGCTTAGACACCACCACCACTGTGGACTGGACTGAATTCATCCCCCAAAGTTTTTGAACCTTAATCTCCAGCACAACAGTAATACATGGGAGTATGTGTGAGTGCTGATTAGGTCATGGGGTTCTGTCCTTATACAAGGATGAATGTCGAGGCTGGGGACACAGCTTAGTTGGCAGGATGCTTGCATAAAACACATGGAGTGCTGGGATTGATCTCCAGCACTTCCCAGTCGGGGAGCTGTGGTGTATTTCTGTAACCTTTGCTGTCAGGACAGGCGGCTAGAGGATCTAAAGTTCAAGGCCAGCTTCAGCTACCTTAAGGAGTTCAAGGCCAGCTTGATCTGCAGGAGACCCTGCTACAAACAACGACAAAGGCTTTAAGGTGATTTCTCTTTGAGACGTCCACACACTCTTGGCTGTGTCTGGAGCAGAGTGCCTCTCTTTCTTTTAACATTCGTTATTAAGAGCTAGGTCAAAAAGGTCTTGTTCTGCCGGGCAGTGGTGGTGCATGCCTTTAATCCCGACACTCGAGAGGCAGAGGCAGGAGGATCTCTGAGTTCGAGACCAGCCTAGTCTACAAGAGTAAGTTCCAGGACTGTTACACAGAGAAACCCTGTCTCGAAAAACAAAAACAAACAAGCAAAAACAAAAGAAGAACCTGCGTTGGTGTTTATCTGCTCTACAGGAGTAAGTTGATTAGGTTCAGTAACAAATTCACAGGAGCTTTGTGAGGGGAAGGGATGGAAGTGGTTACCCACTCCTGACAGCTGTCCTTTGGCCACACACACACCATATCCCGTGAGCGCCTCACTCTCCCTCTCACACACAAAAACAAGATATAAAAGGGAAGGAAAGGCGACAGGGTCAAATGCTCTTGGCCAACTACAATTAGCTTATTCATCCATCCTCTTCGCTATTTGCAGGTTTCAGAGTAGAATGTTTAAAAGAAATAGAACATGATGTTCTTAAGCCTGGAGCTGTAGGAATTTGGGTGGGAAGAGTATGTGGCAGATAATATCTACAACAGGAAACAACCAGCAAACCGAAACAACTGCATTGCAATCTGGATGCCAAATGCTTAGAGGACTTCTTTTCTTGTAAAGTATTTATTTTATGTGCATTGGTGTTTTGCCATGGGTATCAGGTCCCCTGGAACTGGGATTGCAGACAGTTGTGAGCTGCCATGAGGGTGCTGAGAATTGAACCTGGGTCAGTCAGTGCTCTTAACCACTGAACCTTTCTACATCCCGAGGACTTCCTTTCACTTGCTCAACATTTTTTTTTTCAAAAGACAGGGTTTCTCTGTGTAACAGTCCTGGAATTCACTTTGTAGGCCAGACTGGCCACGAACTCAAAGAGATCCACCTGCCACTGCCTCCCAAGTGCTGGGATTAAAGGCGTGCACCAGCATCCGCCTGGCATACTTAACAGTATTTTACTAACAGTAATTAACACAAAATAAAAGAAGCGGGGTCAGTGTGAGCTGTAGTTTCCCTAATCATTCTTCACTCTCACGTGAGAAGTGCTGCTGCTTCTGATGTTTCTGAAACCAAACGGAGGGTGTTTTCTGTCACAGCTTCTTCAAATTCTCCAGACACCCTCCGGGTTCAACAATTCAAGGAAATTCTAGCACCATACACCCAGAGCTGTTCACACTGGATCCCACAGCTCAAAGGGACAGACCCCAAAGCAGTGTCAGATTATAGTTTTGAGTCCTGGGTCACCTATACAATAACTGGCTGGGAGTCAGAAGTTCCCATGACTTCCTCTGTCTGTCTGATAAATCACCAGAGCAGCTCACAGACCTCAGGCTCATACCTTTCTTAGCCTTTCTCTGTTGTCATAAAGGCTAGAACTCAGGAATAGCCAAGGAGAAGAGATGCGGAGGGCAAGGGAACATAGAGGGTGAAGGATGAGGGGTGCGGAGCTTCCTTGCCCTCTCTGGGTACACCATCCACCTAGCACCTCCATGAGATCACCAACCCAGAAGTTCACTGAACGCTATTATTTAGGGTGGTTTTTATTTTAAATGAAGAGTTCATCATATGGGCACAGTGATTACACTATTGGCCACTGGTGACTTAATTCAGTGTCAACTTCCTCTCTCCTCCTTCAAGGTCAGTAAATAGGGTTGAAATTTGCTTCCTTCTAATCCCCTGGTTTGTTCTTCTGACTACAAGCTTCCATTGTTATGGTGACTGGGTCTACCACGAGATATCACGGTAGCATAGAAGCATGTATGGTTGACTAGGGCTCATTATGAATAGCAAAAGACAGCAAATATTATAATACAAACAATCTTCAAATTCTGGTCCTCGTATCCCTAGGACATAAACACTTTCCAAAAAGAGTCAAATAGTAGGGTAACCTAATAGCTCAGTTTATCTGGCATTTTGTGGAACTTTGTGCTAAAATTCAAGTCTTGTCAGTCCTGGTGATGAGGCCTCAACCTCTATATTCCTTCCTAAAACTGATATGACTGAAGTTTTTTACTAGATTGTCATTTCTACTACATACTCTTTTATAAGTGCCCTTCCCCCATTGTGTGCGTAAGTCTGGGGAAGTATGGAGGAGTGGGTGCATTGCCCTTGTGCGCATGCAGAGGTCAGAGGTCAGTGTCAGGTGTTTGCATCCACTGAGATCCACCTTATTCATTAAGTTTCTTACTAAACCTGGAGTTCACCGTTGCAGGGTTGGCTGGCCAGCAAGCCTCCAGAATCCACCTGTCCCTGCCCTCCAGCGCTGGGAGCGCAGAGACGTGAGTCTCCACGCCCAGCTTTTCTGTGGGTGCTGGGGATCCCAGCTCAGGTCTTCGTGATTGGACCACAAGTACTTTACCATTTCCCCAGCCTTCCTTTCCCCAGTTTTACACAAGCCATGCCTCTTACTCATTCTTAATTTTATTCTGGTGCATTATTTGGGGGTGAAAATGCTTCAGGGCACTAAAAAAGAGACAATAAAAAAATATTGGGGCAGGCAAGATGGCTCAGCAGTTAAAAGCATTTGCTGCGAGTCTTGATGCCTTGAGTTTGACTCCCAGGACTTACATGGTGGAAGGAGGGAATCCAACTTGTCCTTTGACTGCCACATATGTGTTGTGTCATGTGAGTGCCCACGACATACAACGACTAAATGAATAAAAGCAAGGACTGGAGAGATGCCTCAGGAGCACTGGCTGCTCTTCCAGAGGACCCGGGTTTAATTCCCAGCACCCACGTGGCAGCTCACACCTGTCTGTAACTCCAGTTCCAGGGAATCTGACACCCTCACACAGACATACCTGCAGACAAAACATCAATGCACATAAAATATAAAATAAGCAAATAAATAAACCATTTAATACAAATAATAAAAAAGAAAATAGCTATGGGGATGAAGAGATTCTTAGCAGTTAAGAACACTGGCTGCTCTTGCAGACGACTGGAATTCAGTTCCCAGTACCTTTATCAGGCAACTCACAACTGTCTAAACTCTCCAGGGGCCCAACACCCTCTCCAAGGCCTTTGTGAGCATGTGGACACATATGATACATACTTACACAGACAGAAAGAAATGCATCTAAGTAAACAACATCTTAAAAACACCTATTAAAACATATAGTAATATTCCAAGGATAAAAGGGTATGGAATGCAGCTACTTTCCTCAGAAAGCAAGCCAAGGAGGAAGCTAGAAGGCTAGGCCACCTGAGGAGTGATCAGAGCAGAAGGGGCGGAACTGGGTTTGTGGCTGTGCCTCCAACCATTCTGTCTATTTGGCAATTTTACCAAAACAGCCTTTTCGTGGTCCCTGAGAGAAAGATACAGCCAGGCAGTGGTGGTGCACGCCTTTAATCCCAGCACTTTTGAGGCAGAGACAGACGGATCTTTGTGAGTTTGAGGCCAGTCTGGTCTACAGAGCGAGTTCTAGGAAAGCCAAGGTTTCACAAAGAAACCCTGTCTTAGAGAGAGAGAAAGAGAGAGAGAGAGAGAAAGAGAGAGAGAGAGAGACAGAGAGAAAGAGAGGGAGAGACAGAGAGATAGAGACATAGAGAGGAGAGATATCTGGAGCACAGGGGAGGGGGAGGACAGAATCTATGATGTCATTCTCTGACCTCTGTGACATAGGCTTTTGATACTAGAGAAAGCCGCTTCCAGGGAATGAGCCCCTCAGTTCCCACTGGGGGCGGCAACGCCGCCCCTTAGGCAAAGCTTCAGTCTCTGGGAGCCATTTACCTGCTGACCCTACTGTTGCTGCCACTGGGTCTGACGATCACCTTGGTCAAGGCCAGGCTGAGTGAGAGGGACACCACTGTGAAGGGTGACAAGTGGCCAGGGGAGCCAGCATGCCAGGAAATCAGGATGCTTCTGTGTGTCAGGGATAGAGGGGTAAAACCCTGCACCACAGAAGAGCTGTGCCTGAAGAAGGCCTTGGGGCACCACTACGACGGGAATTCAGGGTAAGAATCTGTTTAGGGGGTCAGGGGCTGGAGGCAGAGGAGATAGGCTGTTTTGTGACTCTGCTTTCTCTTTCCTATTTGAGGAAGTGTCTTGGAAACAGCAGAAGGAATCCATGTTGGTAAAATCATTGCCTGTTATCTCCATTCCTTTCCCATCTCCGTCCTTTTGCCCTAAGTCGCCTCTTTGGACTCCATCCTTTCCTCCTCCTGATCTGCTCCACTTCTTTACCTTCTCTAGAGCATCTTGCCAGGTTTTCTGACCTCAAGGTGACAAACAGCTAGTGTCTTTGCTGTTATGTAGAGACAGATGCCTGTAACCCAGGTTGGCCTTGATCTCCTTGTGTCCCGGCTGGGGAGACAAGCTTGAGCCAGCATGCCATGTTTATGTGCTCTTGGAGATCAATCCAGGACTTCATGCATGCTAGGCAAGCGCTCTACCAGCTGAACTACACCCAAAGACCTCACATCTAGGATCGTGATAAGTTCACACTGGAACTGAGCGCCTGGAGCAGAGCCAGAAGTGGACCGATCGTTCCAACATCCTGACCTGTCTTTTTCTCTGCAGGTCTTCCAGACTGGGTCTTCCTCTCGGTTCCACCCACAGAGTTAGAGTTGCCCCTCGGCTCCCAAGGGACAGCTCTCATTCCCCATTTCTGTACATCTCTAGCGAATGGCTAAGAAAAAGTGAAGAGCCAAGCTTAGATGCAGACTCTGGACTGAGCACGCGAGAGACAAGAAGAGGCTTAGTGTCCCCTGGGCCTTCTGCTGACGTCTGCAGCGAGACTTGGCATCAGCCACACTGCTGTGGCAGAAGGCAGTCTTGATCACCAGCCACAACTGCACTCAGAGATCCCCACACCAACTAGGCAGGTCTCTAATTAGTCTTGTGGCCCCACCCACGTTTTTCCTGGACTCAAGGCAATGTTGCCTCAAAACAAGGACCAGGTGCTGCTACAGAACACAGTGCCCCCAGGGTGTCCCCCTCAGGTCCTCTCAGAGTTCATTGACTCCCCTCCATCCAACTTAGCATCTCTCTCCCCCCATCAGTCCCTCCCTCCTTCCCAACTACATTTGCCCTCTCACAGGCCAGCCTATTTTTCCTTCTCTTCTCCGCCACAGCCCCACTCTCCTGGGCCTCACTTCTACTATCCTGACTCAAATTCTGACTTTGTTCCCCTCCCAGTCTCTTCCTCTCTCCCAAGTTCCCCCACTTTCTTTCACCAGAACTACCCCTGTCTTCCTTCACGACACTCATCCCCTCCCCTCAACTACCAGCTGTGCACCTCCCCTCCTCTTTCCCATTCCTCTTCTCTTTCCCAGGTACAAAATTCCTCTCCTCACTCTTGCCAGTCTCCTCCCCACCTCCAGGGCATCCATAGTTCTACAGTCACTTCCCCCAGCCCCAGCCCACCTTCTCAAGGGATTGCCAGTAACAAACAAACATGGCAGTGTCCTCAATCCAAAAACACCAGGTCCCCTGGGGTGGCAGGGGGATGCGTGGCAAGCAAGGTGGACCCTGCAGAATTCAAGGACTCAATGGCCCTTGCCCAAGCCCTAGTCGACCGTGTGGGGCTCCGCAGAATTGCAAGAGATCTCCAGCTACTGTTTCTGCAGCACCTGTGGCTCGACACATCCACACCCAGCCTGGCTCCAGTCGTGGAGTATCCTGTTTGTCTACAGTGCCTCCAGCACCGCACCCCATCTTGCCCCAACCCCAAGTACAAGAAGTGGGCAGGGCTGATTGCCTTCCCTCAACTAGAGCCCTGTGCTCAGGGCCAGGAGTCTGGGACTCGCCGCCTAGGTATTGGCTTCGGCCTCCGCTTGCCTCTGAGCCAGGCCAAAGCCTTGCATCTGCTACCATCAAAAAAACGGCAGGAAGCAAGGCCTCAAGGAGAGGTCGCCCAGAGTCAACCACCTACAACCCAGACACCAGAAGCTCAAGTCATGGACACACTCTCCCAGGCCGGGACCCTCAAGTTTGTAGGCCTCCAATCACCAAAATCCAGCCAATGTTCCGTGCCTCTAGCTCAGGCACCAAGACGGGCCACTGCCGCCCCAAGGGCCAGGTCGTCTACAGCCCCAAAGAGGTCGGTGTCTCCAGAATCTGTTCTCCAAAAGTTACCATCTTAATTCCAGAGCAGCGGAGACCCTATGGAACACCCTCTCCAAACCCCACCATCCCTACCAGGACTTCTCAGACCTTAGGAAGCCACAGCAACACCTTGAAGGGCTGGCTGGCCGGAGGCCAGGTGTGTTCTCCCGCCCTGAACCCCGGAAACCCCTTGTGGAGTCTGCTCTCCCCTGGTTGAAGAGGACCAGAGGTCCCCAAGGCCCCATTCAGCCTTCACTGTATCCAATAAAGCCTAACCCTGAGGATCTTGTGTCTGTGTCCTACTGTGCCCACAGGATGGAATCAATGGCTATAGGGTAAGGTCAGTACTCAACAAGGTTGGAGGGAAAGAAAAGTCAAGGACAAAAAGTGCCACACATCCTGGTATCTGAGGTGCTTCGAGACCTCTGCAAGGCCCTTTTCCGGTTTAATTCAAGTCTGTTGTCAGATAATTGGAATCAAAGAATAGGTCACTGGGCCCATTTCTCAGGGGATGCCTGGGTTGACACACAGCAGCCCATTTTCCTCATTGGGAAAGACATTGCTAACAACTTATTCACAGGCGAGCACAGAAATCCCAAGTGCAGACCAGAAGGTGCGGGG